ATTCTTCTTCTTCTTCTTCTTCTTCTTCTTCTTCTTCTTCTTCTTCTTCTTCTTCTTCTTCTTCTTCTTCTTCTTCTTCTTCTGTCTTCTATTCTTCTTCTTCTTCTTCTTCTTCTTCTTCTTCTTCTTCTTATTCTTCTTCTTCTTCTTCTTCTTCTTCTTCTTCTTCTTCTTCTTCTTCTTCTTCTTCTTCTTATTCTTCTTCTTCTTCTTCTTATTCTTCTTCTTCTTCTTCTTCTTCTTCTTCTTCTTCTTCTTCTTCTTCTTCTTCTTCTTCTTCTTCTTCTTCTTCTTCTTCTTCTTATATCTTTTGTTGGCTTAAAATATATTGTCTATATCTGCAATGATTTCTCAATTATTATTAACTTCGCTGTCTTTTATAATTCACCTAGCGACCCGTAAAGTTTGACTTACATCGACGTTTCTCTTGGCCAAAAGTGTTGCCTTGATATGTTGTATTTAGGGCAGTCTTGGAGGACATGACTATAAACGTCATTCAGAATACAAGCCGGGCCTCGTGGGTCAAATCCAAACCGAGCCGGATAACTTTTAAAAATGACCTTGGCTCTCAGGTCGACCAGTCTCAAATAGGTGCCAGTCCTAGGAAGCAAGAGTGGCCGTCGTGATGTCGACCATACTACCCACAGAGTGCTGATTGTCAGCACACAAACTGATACATACTGCAGGAGACTGCAGATAGCGGAGAGGTATGATCGCCCATGCCAGTCGGCAAGGCACCTGATGATATATATATATATATATGTATGTGTGTGTGTGTGTGTATATATATATATATATATATATATATATATATATATATATATATATATATATATATATATATATATATATATATGCCTGATACCCCTGAATCGTGGAAAAGGGACATTTTACAAAACATTTCATGCTAGCGGGAGATTGAGTTTAAACTGAATCAACGTTAACTTCCGTTATTGTCTTGATTTACTTAATTTGTATGCACAATACAGATTTCAGAATGAGATATTTTCCCAAAACAATACATTGCTAAACACACTATAGGCAAGTTTACTTTCAATGTATGCATAAAATTAAAAATGAGCAATCACCGAAGAAAGAGAAAGTTATCGCTGAATATTTATATGCGTACAATCCGGCACTCTTAGAGGTTATTGTTTTCGGAAACAAACGCTTACTACCGCCAAATTCAAGGCAGGAAAGCGTTTTTTTTTCCTTTCATCATTGTGTAATGTCATGCATGATGAATTTTAATTAAATCAAAAGTTCACGTGCTCCAGCATTCTGCGTCATCCATTCGTTTCGAAGGCAAAACACAATATACGAAAAATATATGGGGAAATGGCTGCTGTAATATGGGTACAATAATATGTGCGATCTATCCAGGTTAACTGGAAATGGAAACTAGGGGTGGTAAAAATGAGAAAAAGGGAGGGGGGGGGATATTGAAACACTCCAATATTCATGGAGATTCGACTGGATTTATTTGGACTGATTGGTAATGGAATGTAAGGGAACTAACCGATGTGTTACTATAGCTCACTGCTTCTCTCTCTCTCTCTTTTTCTATCCATATATTTCTCTCACTCTCTCTCTCTCTCACCCACACAAATTCCCTCACTCTCTTTCTGTAAATGAATCCATTTATCTACCTTTCGATCCAGCTCTCTATCAACCCATCCCTAAATCTATGCATCTATTTAGATGTCTATGTATCCATCCAACCATTCGTCGCCTATCTAATCTATCTAATCTATATAATCTATCTATCTATCTGATCTATCTATCTATCTATCTAATCTATCTATCTATCTAATCCATCTATCTATCTAATCCATCTATCTAATCCATCTATCTATCTAATCCATCTATCTATCTAATACATCTATCTAATCTATCTATCTATCTAATCCATCTATCTAATCTATCTATCTAATCCATCTATCTAATCCATCTATTTAATCCATTTATCTAATCCATCTATCTAATCCATCTATCTAATCCATCTATCTAATCCATCTATCTAATTAATCTATCTAATCCATCTATCTAATCCATCTATCTAATCCATCTATCTAATCCATCTATCTAATCCATCTATCTAATCCATCTATCTAATCCATCTATCTAATCCATCTATCTAATCCATCTATCTATCTATCTATCTATCTATCTATCTATCTATCTATCTATCTATCTATCTATCTATCTATCTATCTATCTATCTATCTATCTATCTATCTATCTATCTATCTATCTATCTATCTATCTATCTATCTATCTATCTATCTATCTATCTATCTATCTATCTATCTATCTATCTATCTATCTATCTATCTATCTATCTATCTATCTATCTATCTATCTATCTATCTATCTATCTATCTATCTGTCTGTCTGTCTGTCTGTCTGTCTGTCTGTCTGTCTGTCTGTCTGTCTGTCTGTCTGTCTACCTGCCTGCCTGCCTGTCTGTCTGTCTGTCTGTCTGTCTGTCTGTCTGTCTGTCTGTCTGTCTGTCTGTCTGTCTGTCTGTCTGTCTGTCTGTCTGTCTGTCTGTCTGTCTGTCTGTCTGTCTGTCTGTCTGTCTGTCTGTCTGTCTGTCTGTCTGTCTGTCTATGTAGACCAGTTTACTTTCAAAGTATGCATGTATGTATAGCCTATGTATGTATATATGCATGTGGGTGTATGTATTTATGTATGTATGTATGTATGTATGTATGTATGTATGTATATAGGTAGTTTTTTAGGTAGGTATGTAGGTAGGTAGGTAGGTAGGTAGGTAGGTATGTGTGCGTTTATGTATGTTGGTGCGTGTATGTGTTACTAATGTCTATATAATTGTGTATGTGTATGTATTATAATGACATGTATGTGTATGTGGGTGTGTGTGTTTGAGTGTGTAAGATTGTGTAAACATGACCTGTGTGTGCATTATTTTATAATGTATTTTTTTCATAATATACGTAACATGCATTTTTTGATAACAGGCATTATACTCTGAAAGATGAAAGGCCGAATATCAGACAGGCCTGCGTGCTCAATTTGTAACCCTTTGAAAAAAAATTGTGTACGTTTTTTCGTTTCTACATTCTATCTTTCTATCTATCCGTCCATCTATTCATCCATCTGACTGTATAAGTCGCTAGCATTTTTGATTATAACAGAAAGGTGTGAAATGCTATCATAAAAAGATGTGAAATAAAGTGAATAAAAGATGTAACATATTTTAAAAAAAAAGAATTGAAATAAATTATTATAAAAAGATGTGAATTATAATCAACAAGATGGTATACATTTTATAACAAAAAGATGTGATATATACTACGACTTTTTTAAATATCCTTTGCAGAACGTCGCTTTCATTATAGCATGTCTGAAGTAAACTCGATCGCACGCTAGATCTCCCGTCTCGTGCCTTTTTTTACCCCAGATGTCCCTTACACCATGTGCCTATCTTCGTAGTGTTCGGCCCCTGCTCTACTTTTCCGGCACCATGTTTTCTGGGACATTTTTTTTTTTCTCTGATCCGCCTTGGGTCAAAGTATTCAAATGTCCTAGAGAGGATGCTGTTCAGTCTTTCTCGATGTTTATATTCTGTAAGCTTTCAGCATTTCTTTTCTTATTGGTTCATTTTTTTTTTTTTTATTTTAAAACTTTCTTTATTATTTCAGTTTAAAGGTCCGTATTCTCTTCATTATTGACTGACAAATAGGACACGACTCATATTCGTGTGTTACTTCAAGGAACATTGGGGGAAGGAAGAGCGGGAGTAGTCGAAGTAGAGGAGGGCAAAAAAGAATCTGTAAAGACAACATCAAGAAATGGACAGGACTAAGTTATCATACACTTGTTCATCAAGCGAAAGACAAAGTTGGCGGGTGTTATGTGCTAGTGCTTCCATCGAACAACCTCCACGACCCTAATGGATCAAGGGTTGTGTGTTAGACAGTGCTGACCTCGTCATTTGCTTGTTGCTGTCTTGCTGATGCATAACAATATACTGTTCATGCAGTTTTGTCTTTACAGAGCTACTGGCATCTTACTTATGACTTCTCTTTGACCTCTGTTGAACAGTCTTTTCATTGTTGTTTAGTATAGACTAGGACGTGACGTTTTGTGATTCAGAGAGGCGGTCACATCAATAGGAAACCTTTGAGGGCGGTATAGGATTTGAAATTAAAATACAAATTGAACATTTAGGGGTGGCATTTCACATCAATGGGAAACCTAAGGGGGCTACAACTTGAACATTTAGGGGTGGCATTTCACATCAATGGTAAACCTAAGGGGGCTACAACTTGAACATTTAGGGGTGGCATTTCACATCAATGGGAAACCTAAGGGGGCTACAACTTGAACATTTAGGGGTGGCATTTCACATCAATGGGAAACCTAAGGGGGCTACAACTTGAACATTTAGGGGTGGCATTTCACATCAATGGTAAACCGAAGGGGGCTACAACTTGAACATTTAGAGGTGGTATTTCACATCAATGGGAAACCGAAGGGGGCTACAACTTGAACATTTAGGGGTGGCATTTCACATCAATAGGAAACCTTTGGGGGCGGTATAGGCAGTGAAATTAAAATACAAATTGAACATTTATGGGTGGCATTTCACATCAATGGGAAACCGAAGGGGGCTACAACTTGAACATTTAGGGGTGGCATTTCACATCAATGGGAAACCGAAGGGGGCTACAACTTGAACATTTAGGGGTGGCATTTCACATCAATGGGAAACCGAAGAGGGCGGTATAAGCAGTGAAATTAAAATACAACTTGAACATATAGGGGCGGCATTTTGAAGTCTTGCATTAGAGTAGAAAGTCTAACCCACGGCCCTGATTTTGGAGCCTACATATTCAAAATGTTTGCCATTTTTTTTTAATTTCTTCATCATTTATTGTTACTTACGGGTAAAAGACAATTTGCCTATTTTCTTTTTGATCTCATTGTGAGTTGGGATAGACATACACATGTTAAATATTAATAAGACTTACCATCTGAGCTGAAGTTTTCGGTTTGAATTTGATGTCTGTAATTTCCGTACTGGCTGTGGAAGACAAGAAGTGCCTTGTTAAAGAATATTAAATTTTTTGCATTTTTTTTTTTCTAACGTTTAGTAATCCTTTTTTCATTTATTTCTGCCAACGTTTCCAATTGCTTGATTTGAGGCATTTAACTAACCTCTGTCATTGCTTATGTCACAAAATGACCGATAGCCGGCTGACCTCTAAAGCTCTGAAGAGTTATTTTTTATTTCTAGTTAGGTTAATGCCAATTCCCTGCTTCTTGACTGGGAGTTCCAAAGTTCTGTCGTCAGCTACTGTACCTAAATGGTGGATGGCCGATTACATCCAAAATGGCGTGTACTGTTATGACTCACCGTTTGCACCAACAGTTAGTAATAGTTTAGAAAATGATGCCGATGTTCAAATAATTATATCTCAACTGTAGTGCAATTTAAAAAGATGAAATTATATATTAGTATTTACTCTTAATCTCAAAGTTATGTCAGAGCTCCCTCCTCCCACCCCTTCCAACCGATAACAAGAAATCAGAACGAATTTTTTCTAATTTGAGAAATATAAGATACGATGGGTTGCCTTTTAAGAGTTATACAGCACACAGCTGATATGTTAACAAACTGACCTTTAATAAAACACGTGAATCTCGTATGTTGCGTAAATTATGATTAAGACCAAGACCATGTGTCGACACGTACTGTAAAATCCGTGTGCTGCCAAGGTTCGTCAGAAGTTTACAAAGCGTAACTTGTGAGCTAGTTTTTATGTTAAATTCGTTACACCCAAAATATAACAAATCAGTTTTATTAATATTTCTCGTTTGAGAATAAATGCCGTTGTCTGAGTCATTGTATTCCAAATCCAGAGAACAGAACGAAACGTGCCCTAGGCATTATCGATCGGAAGTTCACAAGTTGGGCCAGAGAAGGGTCAGTTCTTTCTATACATACCAGTATTGAGCGAGGCAAGAAATAGAAAATTGGTCGCTTTGACAAAAAAGTTATTAAACGAGCAATATTCAGAATGTTACACTATAAATAATTATTGACGATAAGGAAATAAAAATGTAAACTTAGACAGAACCATGCCATTGATAAATCCGAAAGTACATAATGGAAATCTGTAAGAGGTGCAGGGACCTACACCCCCATGGTAATTAACACCTCCATGACACCTCTGTACTTCTATTCCCGTTGACACTGTACAATGTGTTTGGTTATCTAACTAAAACTATACAATGATAATAACAGAGAAAGCGGCTGTTTTGATACAACTGGGAAGTGTATATATTATATATGCATAAAACATTAGCGTCAAGACGAAAACAGCAACTCTTGCAAATAAATCACATTCCCAGGATAAGTAATCACCAAGAAACTAACGAAAATAAACGGCAGAAATTAGGAAACGGACTATAGCTGCAACTGTAGTGTTGGACCGATTGTGTTAGCATTATTCTGACGGCTGCCTTATAATTTTTACTTTGAGTGTGTAAGCTTCAAGATTAGGCTGGGATTGGCAGGTTATTCTCTAGTTTTGCCCGACTCTCTAGCGTAGTTGGCTAAACCGGATTGCGCGGTGAGCGGGTGACGAACTTCTTGTGGTCCGGGTTCACTTCCGGGGGTAGGCAGAAAAGCCACATTATCTCCCAGATTTACGGTATTTACAATGGAATCAATGCCGAAAGGTTGTGATATCCATAATACCGAGCCTAAGGGTTAACAACTCATGACTTCTGGATACTAAAACAAACAAACATTCTCTAGTTTTCAAATGATACAAAACAATAAAGGTCATTTTGTTGGTTTTTAAATGGCATATGAACGGGGCACTTGTGGGGATATTCGTCTGTAGTGATATCGGAGTATCAGCTGATGACTAACGGAATTTCTCATTGGATATTACTAATCGCATTGCTTGCGTTAAGAAATACCATTTCCACTTTAACCTGGACGTTTCTTAAAACACGGTAGATGATTTTCAAAAACCAAACTGAATGATTCTGAAGCCACCTAGAATTTTTTCAAATCTAAATAGTCGCTTTTCAAATTATGTAAGACACTTTTCAAAGCAAAGTTGACTTTTTTTTTTTCACAGTCAGTATCTATTAATCAAAAAAAAAATTATTATTTTGACGTAGAACATAAACAATTTACAATAAAGCATGTGTTGTTGATAAGGACCATTCTTTCTCTCATCCGTTTTTTGAAGAATGAAATGTATGAAAGAATAATTTGGGCGATGAACTGGTTTAAAATAATTAACAGAGTCGTAATATCGTCTGTATCACTCCCTCGCCTGCCTCCACCTGGATCCAGTGGCAGGACAAGTCCAGAAGGCTGGAGATGAGGTCAGGTGCAGTGGATGGACAAACTGTTCTATGTATCTCATCGTCGTCTTTGCGCTTGTTAGGTCAGCTGAATCACGTACTGATGTCCTCCGCACATTCAGCTGAGTCTAGTTTCTGCATGTTTTCATAGGCAGATTCTGACTCAACCAAAGGCCACTAACCATTCGGTTACTTCCCACCTCGTTGAGCAGCCTTTTATTGAAGGTTCCGGGAAATTTCTAAATTGTTTTGTGTATATTTTTTTTAAGGCCCTAGGTGACTATAAAAACCAGCAGCTTGATTTCAGAATAACTCCCTGTATGGTTTCAAAATTATCCAGTGTGATCTGATAAACGTTCTAGGTGGTTCCAGAAACGATAAAAAATTAACATTGATATTTAAAACGTCGTAGGTGGTTCGAAATTCGTTTAAGTCCGAAATTTTAAAAAATGTATTGAGTAGTTTGGAGACCGTCGTTTTTGATTTGGTTCACGTTCTAGTGGTGGTGCAAAAATAAATATAGTCTGATTTTAAGAACATCTTAGGTTGTTCTTAAGTCGTCCAGCATGATTTAAGAAATTTCATGGATGGATTGAAAATAAATCGTCTAGTTTGATTTGCAAATATTCCTAGGGGATTTAAAAAGTAAAAATTGTATTTTTCTCCCAACGTATGTGTGAAACTCTAAATTACACCCCCCCCCCTCTCTCTCTCTCTCTCTCTCTCTCTCTCTCTCTCTCTCTCTCTCTCTCTCTCTCTCTCTCTCTCTCTCTCTCTTAACCACTTTACTTTTAATTCCTATTTTATTTTAGCTTTAGCATGTGCAAATGAAAGTCAGAGAACCAATGAGGACACGGCAGGAAAGTTGAATGCATTCGAAGAACATAATCCTAAAGCAAATGATGTACACCAAATCAGATGACCTCAGAAGATAAAGAAATAAGAGAAATGTATGGGCACCCAATGGTATCAGCAGTTATCGGACATACAACGAAAATGGCAATACATTGGGTACTTTCTGGCTCCTAAATTGGAAACAATGGATGGGGGATGGGGGGGGGTGGGACGTAGTAACTAATTCCTAAGACGAAAGCTGATGAAACATGCTCACAGTGCAGATCTGATTCTATTCATGATATTGAAAGGTTTGCACAGAATACTTACGTAAGGGATAACAGAATGATGATGATAATTATGATGATGATGATGTTAAATAAAGACTGGAGACAACAGCGTCTGTTGCTAGAATTCTGTTTTGTTCCCGCACCGAATGCGTCATTGAAATTTCACTTATTTCTAAAACAAGGAAATCTTTAACATGTATACATCGTGTTGTCAACCAGGAAGCGAGTTGTTGCAATACAGCTTGAACCAACAATATGCAGTTATCGATTACTTGTCACTTTGCTAGGAATGATTTATATCTTCACCCTTGGACGCAATGGAGACCATGAGGCGAAAATGGAGTTTAAAAAAGGGGTAATAGGAGGAGGGAGGGGGGGGGGGGAGGGCGCTAGAGAAAAGCATAAATATATTACGAAAGAAACTTATTTACTGGAAATGTTATAGCTTGCGAACAAACAAGAAATGGTTCGTTTCATAGAGGTAACGTGCAACCCTGTGCAGGGAAGAGTCAATATATACTATTTTTTGCAAGTCCCGCCCCTAACCACTCCCCTCCCCAACCACTCCCCCCCCCCAACCAAAACCCCCCCCCCCCCCCCTCCCCGCTCAGGATAGTATAAGGATTAAAATATCAAGGAGAAGAGTCAAACATGTAGAAATCCCGGAAATCACATTCAACTGCATAGCCATATAGCACAGTTACGAAGGTACATGTAGTTGAGCGTACGCGGGTTTGATATTTGTATAAGTCTGGTTGCATTTAAAGAACAGACACAGTTCCCTTTGTTGCGCTGAGCGTTTCTGTGCCAACAGACAGAGAACCAAAAGGGAGCGAGAGAAATTCTTTAGGGACCCGTATCAGTTTGCTCGGGGTCTATTCGAGCAACCGAAGTCTGGGACTCTGGTTGTCAGTCAGGAAGAGCTTGAGTCACATCTACGCAAGATGTACTCTGACAAAAAGAGGAGAGAGCCTCTCGATGACAATCCAGAGATCCTTAGCGGCCTCAAGCAGCCTGAGTTGCCGAAGGTACCATTTAAAATGATACCTCCCGTTTGGTCTGAGGTTGAGGAAGTTGTTAAAAAGGCCAGCGGCAAGTCTGCCCCAGGTCCGAATGGTGTTCCGTACGTTCTTTACAAGCGTTGCCCGAAAATCCTAAAAATGCTTCACGTCTTGTTGAGACAAGCGTGGATCCGTAAACACATATGTCCAGAATGGCAAAAGGCGAATGGGGTCTACATTCCCAAAGAGCAGGACTCGAAGAGTCTTTCCCAAATCAGGCCCATCTCGCTGTTGAATGTCGAGGGTAAGATATTCTTCTCGGTCATCGCTAGCCGGCTCACACAGTACATAGATACGAGTGTTCAGAAGGGTGGTATTCCGGGCGTTCCTGGGTGCCTTGCACACGCGACCATGATTTGGGACTCTATTCAGAGAGCCAAGCATGAGAGAACTCAATTGCACGTGATATGGTTGGACTTAGCCAACGCCTACGGGGCAGTCCTCCCTTAGGCTACTGTGGCGAGCCCTTCGCATGTTCCACGTACCGGCAGATCCCCACGGTTCTGGAGGAA